ATCTAAATTGTCCTTACCATGAGGCCAGATGACAAAATAGTCATCCATGTATCTAACCCATAATTTGGGTTTTAGTATTGCTTCTTGCAGAAAGTGTTCCTCTAATTTTTCCATATAATTGTTCGCTAAGATGGGAGACAGGCAAGATCCCATCGCTAATCCCTGTGTTTGCTCGTATAACTTAACATCAAAGTAAAATATTTGGTACACATGCATAGATTAATAAGTTTAATAATGAAAGCTAAACTCAGCATTATTCCTTGTGTTATCTCTGGATGTTCCCCCAGAGTTTGTACCAGAGCTTGAATATCTCCTTGCACAGGTAAGTTTGTGTACATAGACACAACATCAAAGCTTACTAGCTTATCCTCTTCTGAAATTGTCTTTTGATCTAGCAATTTCATAAAATCATACGAATTTTTAACTAAATATATAGCCAATAATTGGCAGAGTTCCTTATTTGTATGCATACAAACCGTGAGATTTTATGCATTACTCTTGCTTTATTATTTATCATTAATCTTAGGGGGGCGCACTCTTTGTGAACCTTAGGAAGACCATAATCGGTGGGCACCTTGCATCTCTCTCGAATAGTGAATTAATTTCCAACTTCTCCATTTCACCATTACTTACGCATACCTTAAGGGCATCTTTTAGCCTATTCTTAAGTTTTTCTGTTGGGTCTCTCAATAAAGGTCGCAGTCTCCTTTCGTTGTATAGATTTTGTTTAACCTTGTTTTCGCAACTTGGTTATATTGGTCATTGTCATTTAAATGAATTTGTATTTTTTCTACATAACTTGATTTAGCCATGACTACCACTGCTTCATCTTTGTCGGCCTTCGTTATGATTGGATTATTATTACACAGTTATCTAGAAATCCTATTGATGACAATCTTTCTTAGGTGGTATTATATGGTCAAAATGAAGGATCACCTCCAATTCAATACTATTACTTACCTCTTTAGATAATCTATCAGATAAGCTATTTAATTCAACCAGTATTACCAGCGAATGGTTGATCTCATTTTGGAGAGCAAAATTAAGTCCTCTTTGCAAAAAAATACTACACTATCCTCCATTGTCTATGCTTAGACAAGCTCTCTCTGAACTATTGAATGATGTGGATTTCATTAAGTTACATGACATGGCTGACGGCTTACGAGAAGCGATTTGCAGTACTATGCGTCCGATAAATGTATTATTTTTATTTGAAAGAGGACTTAATTTTGCAAATCCCCTCTTTCTATCGTTTGATCGTCAACTAACCTAATAAAAGATATGAGGACCAAGATGTTGTGGTCTCTGGTTTAGTCGCAGTCTCCTTTCGATTTATAGAAATGGGTTGACCTCGTTGTCGCAACTTAGTCTTGTTGTCAGGGTGACTTAGTTGAACTCACCTAGAATCATGACAACTACTATGGCAGACGACTTCGGACTAGGTGCGCTCTACTAAGTCGCCCTGACAACAAGACCAAGTTGTGACTACGAGGCCAACCCATTTCTATAACCTAATAAAGTCGCAGAAGTTCTTTACTGAAAACTTCTAAGTTTCGGAGATTTGCTTGAACTGAGTGCATATTAATCGTGATTCTTTATGCATCACGTTACATGTATTATTTACAATAATCCTAACTGGAGTTCTTTGATTATTGATTTTGGGTAGACCATACGCATTTGTGGTCTAGCCTCTCACTGGGGAAGTGCATTCATTTTCCGCTTTTCCAATTTTCCACTGTTTACTAATTGTTGTAGAAGACCCTTAAGTCTGACCTTAGGCTTTCTGTCGGATCCCTAATTATGTTCTTATAGGTTGTATCATCATTTAATGACTTTAACATTTTCTCTACTTAATCAGTCTTAATCATAACTACTACTGTTCCTCCTGTGTTTGCCCTTAATACTAGTTGCTAGTTCTCCTTAAGCTTCTTTATAATAGTCTTAACTGTCTTATTCTTATATGGTATTTCTACATGACGATCAATTAAAGGGACAAATTGTAGTTCAATGTCATTCCTAGTATCCTCTGGGAAACTATCCGTTAAACTTTTCAATTCTACCGAAATTTCCCCTTTGAAGTTCTTACCATTTGGAAAGTTTAAGACCTTTGCTAGAACCTCTTCAGTAGAAATTTTCAATGTAATTTTGGACAGATTTACAACTTTTTGGCAACGGCTATTCCTACAGTTCAATTGATTAGATGTGGGTCGTTTCCTTGAGCTGATTCTTATATCCACATTTCTTTATTTCTTATCGTGTGTCTTCCTAACCTGTAAAAAAATCTTTTCATGTAAACCATCCGATTGACTCTAGAGTTTCAGGAAGTCTTCAGAACTAAGAACATCGCTAAAATTGACCTAAGTCTTGTCTTAGTTTTGATTAATGCATTCAACTTTTATATGTTTTCCTTAAGTCTAATATCAACCAAATCATGGCGAACGTCCAAAAGACCGGTCTTAGTCTTACAAGGTAAAGTAGGTCTGGAAGTAATATAAAATCTAGGTATTATTCTACGGGTCGCAGGATGGTGAGCCTAGTACTTCCTCGTACAATTCAACAGTCTTCCTTACGCTTCAATCTTCCTTCGGTTTCCAGTGAGACCACATCACAAATTCCTTCAAACCAACATTTCATTCGAAATGGAGAATCGTTCCACAATATTTCATTAAGGATGTTTTCGAACCCTAGTTTTTCTTCATATCTTATTTAGGATATACTGGCAGTATCGAAATCTATTCAATACGAATATATTATATTAATTTAAAATGAGTTGGCCTTCAAGACTATAGTATATTAACTTTTTCAATAATGTACCAGGAGTAGGCCTCATAATGCCATTGAATTTCACTTATCCTTGCCTTCTTATCCAGGATGAATTTCAATTTGGAACTCGCCTGGATCGACTGTAATGGCAAAGACAAGTTTGTTTAATCGACAATCCCCCCATAAAATGTGATATGGGAGAGGCCTGGCTTAGTTTGAACGTAAAGTCCATTCTGTGGCCTATGAGCCCCATGGTAGTTTTGCGTAGCGCATTACTCGGGTTCGATACCGTTGGGGGTGCGAGGACACAGACGGAATCGACACTTAAATTTACTCTGAATGATAGTATTTCTATGGAGATTAAGTTATGTGAAATTTAATGACATTATGAGGCATGCTCGCTGGTGCGAGAGAATTAAAAAGTTAGTCATCCGTCACTTCCAGCACTCTAGACTGTTCACGGGACATTAATTTAATCTTAGATATGAAGAACAAGATAGTGTGGCCTTTTGGTTGGTCGCAGTCCCATTTAATTCTATAGCGTTGAAGGTATGAAGACCAAGATGGTGTGGTCTTTTGTGTGGTCGCAGTCTCCTTTCGTTGTATAGATTTTGTCTGACCTTGTTTTCGCAACTTGGTCATATTGGTAGGAAGACTTAGAGGAACGCACTTTGTTCGGAGTCCATTGTATGCATAATCATTTCTAAAGTCGGACTGTGAACGTGGTACATTCCCAGACGTTTTGTCGGCAACGTCAGTGAGTTTTACTATTCGTAGCATCATATTACAACTCGTTAAAGAGAGAGATACGAGGTCAAACAACTTCTATAGCGTTGGTTCGACTCCATTTTCTCAAATTGGTCGGAGCATGAGGGAGACGTTGAAGAAGTTACCTAATCCTGTATAGGTATTTTAATTTCTGCTAGTATTAAGTCATCTTAGTTGAAGTCTGATTGGCTGACACTTGCAGGCTTGTGATTAGCTCATTTTTTGAGCCAATTATGAGCTGCCCTTTGTTCGTCAAATTCTGAGCCACTTTCTGTATGGGGGAAAGTCCTAGTAGTTTTACGTTAGCAGCATCTCCAATAGATCTGTGCGGTCAAGATGTATCGACTTACTCTATCTGGTGGATTCACTTTCAAATCTGAAGCATAGAATGATCAATCAGTAGAGGAGAGTTTATTCTATTCTCAGGATTCGGGGCTCTCAGAATATTCGAAACTGTCACTTCACTTCTTTATCTGCTATTAGACTCCTGAGAGGGAGAGTTTGACAAGGCTGGACCTCTCTAGCCATAAACACATCTTTCTGCTCACGTCCAGGAGCCTCTTATCCGGCCAATTCCTCCTTGTCTTCCTCGCAGTTGGGGTCCCGGCTACCAGCTGGCCTATTGTCAGCACCACAAACAGTATTGACTTATCAAATACCATCGGCATATTAACTTCGGGTGTTGATGCCAATATCAGGCCTGTTCTGGACCTCAATGAGCAGATTGTTGAAGCTATGTTGGAGAAAGTTGCCAACCGCTCAGGTAATGGACGAACAAATCAATTCAGAAAGCTGACCATCGTTGACGATGCTAATGCCACAACCTGGGACTACTTCATGGAACTTCGGCGCCAGATAGGCGTCGAGCTGCCCGGCCTTGGAGCCAATTATTTTGTCTATCAGAAGCGTATTCTAGGGGACTCTAATGTGCAGCGCAGTAAGGAGCCGCTTGATTATGACCCGAAGCTTGGTTTCAACACAGCTATCTGTCTTCTGGGTGTTATCATCACAGTAATACTGCTGGTGGCGCCCTACCGTCTACGGGTTTGGTGTCAAGAACGGCACATGCGGCTGCATAGTCAGACAAAGCGACGGCATCAGATCAGCTAGTTGGTGGATTCACTTAGCCTGATTTTGAACTTGATCCTTATTGACTGAAGCTTATGATGGTCGCAACCAAAAGTACGTAAATTGCCTAAAACTGTGGCTCTGGGTGCTATGATTGACGTGATGACTGTACATTTTAACTACCTTGACACAATTGAATGAAATATAGCCCTATAGTGGGTTCCTTCTTGATGTACGAGTAAATCTCTGACATTCTTGATGGAATATCAACCCTTTAAAAGGTCAAAATAAATAATTTATGTAAAGACCACAAAAATATGTCCTTTTTCCTCTCTCTTTACGCGGTTTGACTTCATTTTTGCGACTTATCCGTGCTTTAAGAAGAACCACCCCAGTCATTGTTTGTTGTGCTCTCTTGACATCGATCTTTGCCTGGATAAATTCACATGCCCGCGAATAGCCCTAATCACAGAACTGTCCTACAACTCTTGTAGTGTGAAAAATCAACGATTTATAATTTTTCTGCTTAATATTTTCCTTCCAGAGTTTGTATGTTCTTAAGCCGCCATTCACCCACACGTTTTTCTAGGCATATTACATGATCTCGATCTCTTAAGGTGATTCAAGGACGGATACTGGATTTTTGAACAATGAGATAAGTAGGCCTCATGATGCCATTTCATTAAAAATGACCTTGCCTCCAAAAAGGTTTTACTATCCAGACTTGTTTGTAGCTTCAACCTCGCCTATGTTTAAGCAGAATCTATAAATGGATTTTAAACCGGGTCTTGCGTTTATTAGCGGCATAAACAACCAGTCCGCCACACAGTCACATATGCTATTGGGTCGCAAAGTAGATGTGACTTCAAGACAAACCAGACCTTTCACGAATCACATTTATGCCGGTTGCGTCGATGAAGCAAACGTATATTCGCCATTTCAATAGATGATGTCAGTTATATTCAATGGCTAAGTGTGCTTATATACTGTAAAACCTTACAACATAACATACGGATAGTGATGAACAGATGGAAAGATGGAGATAATGAAAAGAATGCATAAGGAACGGAGGAAAATACTTGGATATGAATACTATCCTGCGAATTGACTCGGAAGCTACGGCCGATACTATGGAAATTTAACACTCGTACAATTTTGAAGAAAAGGACAACCCTCTTCACCAGCTTGCCTAATTAACATGAAGAAGTAAGCAAAATGGAGTGCTCCGTAGGTTACAGCATAAACTGCAATGACTGTAAGCAAAAATACAAAGGAGAGACAGGAAGGACAATCAGCACAAGAATCAAAGAACACCAGAGACTATGCCGAAATATTGATACTGAAAGATCAAATATAGCTGAACACATCGCTCTTACCGGCCAGACAATTGACTGGAGTGCAACAGAAAGACTGGCCTCATATGGGAGAGGCAACAGGGAAGCCATTGAAAACCTCCTTCAAAGAAACCTGATGCACAAGAGATTAGAATAGGGAAGGCTCAGCGATAATTTCGCGTACGGCCTGGGCAAACTTGTAGATTCATCGAAGACATCTAGAAGAAGGCGCTTGGACCCAGGACAACAGTTCAACAAAAGGAAGAGACATCGCCAAGGAGTGGTTAATAAAAGACAAAGGTAAGTCAAGAAAAGGCGATTGCAATGTGAGGAGTAAAACCCGGAATCGTCCAGAAAAATTTACCAGGGGGAGTCCACCTTTTGGACGTAGGATATGAAATGAAAGGGTAAAGGTTTAAGTGGGCCAGATATAGATCACCAGTGTGTACACACAGATGCTTATGTGCATTTGTAGTGTCTTTGTTGTAACTCTGTGCTTACGATGGCGTCTCTCACTGATGATGTTGACTATGATGCCGGAGAAACGTTTGGGAATATATCGAGTCTATGGTCTGAAGCTGTAAGTCACGAATACTATGGCAGATGACACAAAACCAGATACTTTCCACAAGGTCTCACAAGGCTGCGACTAGACGCGCAAATTACGCGGCCCTGGTCATTCCTTTCTTTGGGTGGTTAAATGTTAATGAACCTAGACTGAGAGGTTAGGACAAGTGATTTCGTAACTTGACTCATGCTTACAAGCGCATATCTCATTATCTCAACCATAATTTTTCACGGACTTACTAAGTCTCAATAAGGGCTTTCTCTTGGGTCATTAAGTCTTGATGCTCAGAGCTTGACATTATACTTTTAATCACTGATTTAGGACCGGTATTGCGTATAGACGCTAACACACACACGCACACATTCGAGCAAAATTAGCAGGACCAGTATGAAAGTTAGTTAGCCAAACCACTCTATATTCATCTAGGCTTTTAGTTTTCTTTTGTTTACTTGAGTCTTTTTAAGAGGTAAGATAGAGCCGGATATTCTTCTTGCCCTAATGTTAACATTAGACTTTTACAGGAATTAGACCCAGCTCTGATTATGTCCATAAAATGATCTCCTAAGCTCAGCCAGTTTTCACCCGAAATGAAGGAGGAGGTCTCGTGGATTGCGCCAACCTGAATGTTGTATAAAAGCCAAACGGCTACAGTACAACGGGATTCACCCGTCCTCTTATAGTGAGATCGACCTACGAATCTCTTCTTTACGCGCTTGCATACCAAATGAAAGTCCCTCCAACAATAGACTTCACCATGCCAATGTATTTCACTTAGCCTTACCTCCTAAGGAGTTTTATCGTCCAGGTTAACTGAAGCGGCCCTCGGTGACTAGATTCTTATTAAAGAAGTACTAATTGAAAATAAGTTCCGCTTCTAATTTTGTAAATGGCTGCCCTAACTTGAATTCCACATCTACTCTGTAAGACCCATTGGTACACCTTACTTTGTAGAGGAAGGTTATGGTGTCAATACGACTTGCACGAGTAAATTGCGACAGTTTTAGCTAAACTTAGACGATCTTGTTTTCGCAACTTGGTCATATTGGTAGGAAGACTTAGAGGAACGCACCTCGTCTGGAGTCCATTGTATGCATAATCATTTCCAAAGTCGGACCGTGGACATGGTATATTACCAGATGTTTCGCCAACATCGTAGTCGGCATCGTCAGTGAGTTTCGCCATCCGTAGCAACTCGTCAAAG